TTGAACTCTGGGCTTGGGCGCTGTCCCTTAGCTCTTCAGCTCAAGGCTGGTGCTCTACCACTTGAGCCACAGCACCACTTCTGGTTTTCTCGTTTTTTTTTTTAAATTGGAGATAAGAGTCTCATGGACTTTCCTGCCCGGGCTGGCTTTGAACCTCTATCCTCAGATCTCAGCCTCCTGAGTAGCTAGGATTATAGGCAGGAGCCACCAGCACCCGGCTAGTGCATCTATCTTTGATCTCTTTCTAGGTGATTAATTAGATCCTCTCAATAGTCTTGGGAAGGAGGCAGGCCAGGGGACATGTGATTTTCCTGCTTTCTAGGGCAGACAATCCTGTCTCTTACATATTCCTCATTGAACAACTCAAGGTGGTCCTATGGTGAGTAAGGAGATGGCACCTGAGATAAAACCTAGTATGGTTTGGCTGTTAAATATCCTCCAAAGTCCATGTGATAATAGATACAATAACAGTAAGAGGCTCATGCTTGGTTGCCAGCCTACGAGGAGGTGGTGGTATTTTTAAGAGGCGGGACCTAGTGGAAGGAAGTTAGGTTATTTGGGGAAGGCTCTTGAAGGAGTTTACAGAGACACTGGTTTCCTTCCTGGAGGGTGAACAAGCTTCTTCTCCCAGAGGGTGAAGAGGCTTCCTCTCCCATGTGCTTCCAGTAAGATGTTCTATGCTTCTAAAGGGTGATGCGGCCACAGGCTGAAACTACTGGAAACATGAGCTTTCAGCTCTGTAAGTTGATTTTCTCAGGTAATTTTGTCACAGTGCTAGAAAGCTGACTAACCCTGCTTAACTCAAACACCTAGGACTCTCTGCCTGAACGTGAACAAAACTGGTCCAGAAAGCAGCTGTCAGTGCTAATGACCAGTGGGAAGTTGGTGGATAAAATATAGCACTGGAGATATATGAATTTAACCCCTCCCCCTTTCCACACAGCTCCTTCCTGAATGTTCTTTCTGCAATTGCCTAAGATACCCCACTTTTTTTTGTGCTGTTACTAGGGCTTGAACTCAGGGTCTCACACTCTCACTTGGCTTTTTTTGTTTTTGGTCCCAGGCTGGTTCTCTACCACTTGAACCACACCTCCACTTCTGGCTTTTGTGTTGGGTGATTGGAAGTAAGAGCTACTAACTAGGACTCCTCATTCTCACCCTCACCCCCAAGCACTGGTCACCATGTGTATTGACCTCCATGTTTACCTGGGGGGAGTGCTTTGATCAGTGTCAGCCCATGCATGTGAGCTCTGCCTGCACGGCAGCCATTCAGCCCCAGCCCAGGACTTGGGCACAAGGAAGGAATGAAGGTGTTTTATGTGACAAGTGAAGGGGTTTCAAGTCTCCTGTGGAGGGCAGGGGTGTGAGTGGCAAGCTTCTCTTCCCCTTACCCAGAGCCCTGAAGGCAGGCATGATGGTGACATTGATGGGCTCCATGGTGAGCACCAGAGCGCTGGGGACTTCTTCCATCCTCACGTCTCTGAGCCCGAGGGCCAGCAGGTCCTTGGAACACCACACGCTCCTCTGCATGAGTTTGATGGCTTGGTAGATCTTGGCCTCTTCCCCGAAGCTGTGGAAACAGCTCAGGAACACTACCAGCTCCACATCCGTTTCATTCCTGAGTACTGTGCCATTCCCAAAGGAGCCCACCTGCAGAAGACAGAGCCCCGTCAACCCGGAGACCCTCTGCATGCCAGGGCAACCCCAGCACTTCACAGGAGATAGGTAATTCATGCACACCGCCCTCCTGAGGGATGGGTATGTACTGCAACATCCTCACTTAAACAGGCAGAAAAAATGAAATGCCTAGAGGAGGGAGTTGCTCAGTTTTCTGCCTGACTCCGCAGCTTTTAGCCCAGGCTGGCCAGAAACTTGTGATCTTTCTGCATCAGTTTTGTGATTGCTGGGATAACAGGCATGCACTACCATGCCTGGCTTCATGCTTCATGGCTATTCAATTGCATGTCTCGCAAGAACTCAGACTTGGCTGGGAAGGTGGCTTCGTGGTAGAGCGCTTGCCTTAGCATGCATGAGGCCCTGGGTTTGATTCTGCAGTACCATAGAAAGAGAAAAAGTCAGAAGTGGCTCTGTGGCTCAAATGGTAGAGTGCTAGCCTTAGACTGAAGAGCTGAGGGACAGTGCCCAGGCCCCACGACCAACCAAAAAAAAAAAAAAAAGCACGGTAGTGTGGTCTAGTGGATTAGTGGATACAAGCCATGAGCTGCAGAATGGGTCATGGGTCATCTGACTTTGACCTTGACTTTTGTTTCTTTTTTCTTTTCCTTACTGGGGATAGAGTCCCAAATGTTCAAACTTGTTCAGCAAATGCTCTTAGATTCTCAAGCACATTGGGCAAATGCTCTACAATGCCCAACCTTGAGCTTCAAGGCCTAACCTTGACTTGACTCTTGGTTCTGTTTTTTTTTTTTTCTTCCCTTATCCATGTGATCCCTCAGAGCCCTAAATATATAAAATGAAAGTAATGAATCATGGGATCACTAGAAAGATTAGATTAAATACTGTATGCCAAGGGCTTGGTATGGTGATGGCCCACAGGAAGTGAGCAATTTATGTGTTGTCATATATTTTTTTAATCAGATAGACTCAGATAAATACTTTGGCTGTCTGGCTTCAGTAACAGCAGGGGATTGAGCTGGATGATTTTGAAGGTACCTTTTAGAGGTTCAGGTCTCCTAGACTTGATCTCCAAGGCCTTGCTGTTCCTGGTAGACAACGCCTGTCCTTCTCTGGCCTACTTATTTCTTACCCAGAGTACAGAGGTGGAATTGCTGGGTGGGCGTTCAAAATCACACCAATACACACACACACACACACACACACACACACACACACACTAAAAAAAGAAAAGGAAGGAAGGAAGAAAAGAAAGAAGGATTGGTTAAGACTAATTCTCCAGGGCCTTTTGACTTTGAGGCCTGACCCTCTTGAATTTTGAACCTAGTTAAGTGACGTGGGGCAGCTGGATATAGCTTGGAGACAAATCTCAGCCGAGGAGGCTTGATCCCTGACCATTGAGTTAACATTCAAATTCTAGCTCCAATGCTAGCTATGTGAGGCTGGGCAAATCACCGCGCCTCCACGAGCCTCCATTTATAAAAATATTTTTATGATCAAAAAGATAAAGCATATGGAAAACCAGAAAGAAAATGCAAAGAGCATTTATGCATCTGAATAATTCATCTGAATCAACCAGTCAGATCCAACAGGTCCACACTTGTTACGTTTGCAACATTTAAACTGCCCAAAGAACATTTTTAGACATCTAGGAACTTTGTCCTGAAATATTTTAGTGTTAGCATCCAAAACATTCTCTCTTGTACTCCCAAGAATACTGTTACCCCTAACAAAATCAACAGCAACTCCTTCACTTTATCCAGATTATGTAGAAATTTCTCAAATTGGCCAAGTACCAAGTGACTTACACTTGTACTCCTAGCTACTTAGGAGGCTGAGATCTGAGGATCATTGTTCAAAGCCAGCCCAGGCAGGAAAGTCTGTGAGACTCTTATTTCTAATTAACTGCTAGCAAGGCAGAAGTGGCGCTGTGGTTCAAGATGTAGAGTGCTAGCCTTGAGTGAAAAACCTAAGCGTTTGTGCCCAGGCTCTGAGTTGAAGTACCAGTACTGGAAAAATCACAACAAAAATTTCCCCAGCCGTCCCCAAACCATATTTTATAAACAGCATGCCAGGACCCAACGAAAGACCTTGGATTGCATTTGATAGTTAGGAATCTGCCAGTGTTTCTATTGAATTCATCTGTAACTGGGGCAAAAGAACAAGATAAAACTTCACAGAGAGAATTAGGCTATTGTAACCCAAATTGCAACCTATTATTATTATTAGCTTTGGTTGGTTCAAGCCAGCAGTGAAGTGAGGTGATTGTGGTAGGCTGGACTGTTCCCAGCTGTCTGTAGCAGGGTAGGGATAAGGAAGCAAGGTGTTCCCAGCATTTCCTGCCTGGCTGGGGATGGAAGAGCCAGATCTCACCTTGACCACCTTGAGCACCTGCACCTCCTGGCCCAGGCTCCGATCTCCCTGGAAACATTCTTGCCTCAAGAACTGCTCCACAGTCCGAACCGCCTCCAGCACCTCTTCCTTCCATTCATGTCTGGGCTGTAGCCTCTGGCTCACGAAGGAGTCCAGCCTGGAGGCTGGGATGCTGTAGAGCTCCTGGGCCAGGGCCATCTCTGTGGAGTGGACCACCGCTGGTTGGTCATATATAGCCACACACTCCCCAGCCTCCCAGTACACACCTCCTTTCTTAAGGGGGCTCCTCTCCAGCTGGCTTTCAGCTCCTGGTGGGATAACGGAGCAGAATGGAAAGGGATCCAGGGGGATGAGTTGTCTGACTGGGTTGCTGTTCTTGAAGACCTTTTATTGTGTCAGGTGTGCTTAGTGACATGGGACTGAGGGTGACAGGTTTGAGGCCACCTTAACAGAGTTGGCATCCAGCCAATCTTTGGGTCTTAGGTTTCGGATTCTTAGCTTTTGGAGTTTCCTTTTCATGATGTTTGGAAACTGAAAGTGGTTCTGTTTTGACCTGTCAGGAGGGGAGGGACATCTAGCCCAGATCATCCTCTCCAACTGTCCCAGCTTTGTTATAAGAAAAATCACAGATTGGAAAGAGAAAGGGCTGGATTATGGTGAAGGTAAAGAATGAATTTTCAACTCTGCATTCCAGTGTGGCCTTTGCCAGACTCTTAACCTCTCTGATCTTCACTTTCTTTATTCCAAAGGTGGATTTAATAATAACTCTCACCCCATTAAGCTTGTTGTGCTGATGGGGTTGAGAACACTGGGCAGAGAATACATTTTGCCAGTTGGGTACTGGTGGCTCATACCTGCAATAATCCTATCTACTTAGGAGGTTCACATTGGAGGATTACAGGGTTTTGTTGTTTTTGTTTTGTTTTGTTTTTTGGTCAGTTGTGGGGCTTGAACTCTGGGCCTGGGTGCTGTCCCTCAGCTCTTCAGCTCAAGGCTGAGCCACAGCACCACTTCTGGTTTTCTGGTGGTTCAGTGGAGATAAGAGTCTCACAGGCTTTCCTGCCCGGGCTGGCTTTGAACCTCCATCCTCAGATCTCAACCTCCTGAGTAGCTAAGATGACAGGTGTGAGCCACTGGCACCAGGCTTTTTTGTTTGTTTGTTTTAATTTGGCAGTACTGAGGTTTGAACTCAAAGCTTCCCACTTGCTCAGCAGCACTTTAGCCATTTGAGCCACATTCCCCTGTTCCCCCACCCGCATGTGAATCTTAAAGATGAAGAATCCCGCCAGGCAGAAGAGAGCAGAGACTGAGAAGTGGGAATGATCCTGGGATTAGGGGTTCCAGCAAATAAATATTTTGGGGGTGGTGCAACACTCACCACAAACTAACTGACACCCCCCTTTGACATCGTTTGGAATTCTAGACTAATAAGTAAATAAAGGTGTTTCCAGGAAAGACTGGCTGTAGAGTAAGAAAGAAACCTCTGCCCTCACCACTGTTGGGTGAGCATTATTTCATCTATGATGGACTTAAAGAGAGGTGAAGGAATGAGGAACAGTTTTCAGACTTCCGAACTCCAGGTTCTTGAGTCTTTGGACTCACACTATTGGCTCCCTTGGTGTGACTCACACTAAATCACACCACTGGCATTCCTGGGTCACCAGGTTGCAGGTGGCATATTATGGGATATCCCCAGCCTCCATAATCACATAAGCCAATTCTCATAATCAATCCCCTCTTTCACAGCTACCTATATTTCTTATTAGCTGTTCTCTGGGGGATCCTCCAGCTATGCCCAATTTTAAAATCCTTGGACTTCCCGCTCCCTTACCCCAGACCTGGGGCTTGAACTCAGGGCCTGGGTGCTGTCTCCGAGACTCTCTGTACTCAAAGCTAGTGTTCTACTGCTTGAGCCACAGTGCTGCTTTGAGTTTTTTCTGAGTAGTTTATTAGAGATAAGAGTCTCATGGACTTTCCTGCGGGCTGGCTTTGAATCATGATCCCCAGTTCTCAGCCTCCTCCTGAGTAGGTAGGATTACAGGCATGAAACTAGCATCTGGTTATCCCTAGGCTCTTACAAGCCATTCAATTTTTTTTTAACCTAAATTAACTGAAATTGAGTCTCTGTGACTTGTAAACCTGTGTTTTTATGATCTAAGAGTGAATGGATAATTGGTCACAAAGTTGAAGGAATCCACTAGGGTGTTCAGGCCCAGGCTGGACAGAAACAGGAGTAAGGCCAGGGTATGGAGGAAATCTAAGAGTCAGCAGTTCGAAGTTCTTCCTCCTTGAAACCATATAATTCTCTCCTTGGCACTTGATCAAAGTCATTGAGTTCCTCTTGGGTTCCTCTAGTGATACTGGGTTGTTTGATCCACAGGCTCCCAGAAATCCTCTGTTGGGAGGTAGCAAGTTAGGGAGCCCCATCATCAAAATTCACGTCTTTCTATTCAAACAAAGTAGGATCAGCTCCCAGGATTGTGGATTTTTATACACTTTCCCCTGCAATAATTAGGGAAGGAAACTTAACACACGTCAGAAACTTTCACAAATGTTATTTTAGTGCCTAATATTACAAGATTTCTCCATTACTTCCCTGGAAATAAAACAGAAGGGAAACTGCTCCTAGGAATTCCAGGCATAACAGATAAATGGAAATTGTCATGATGAATGTCAGGATGAATATGCAAAATTTGTGGATAAAACAGAAATGACTTCTATTGGCCAGGACTTAACACATGGCTTACAGCCAGCTGCAAACGAGGCTGGCAAATGTAGTCTTTAGCAGTGTACTTAGCAGTGTACTTAGTGTAGTAGCAGTGTACTTACCTAAAAATTCGTAGTATAGAAGAAAGGGAAAAGGATATTGGAGGAAAATAGAAACTGCATGCCCATCTATTATTTGTTTTTGCTGTTTAAACTAGGAGCGAGTAAATTGCCAAACTCAGGCAGGAAAACAGTAGAATTCCTGCTATTCCCATCTGGGCTATAAAAGGGGAACTTGGAGAGAACTAATAATAGCTGGCTCATGCAGTTCAAAGTCTATCATTTGGGGCCTCAAATGCATCCACGTTTTACTCCTGTGCCTACCTCCAGCCCAAACTAGCATCAAGTCTCCCTAGACCACCACCAACCTTCTAAAGCCTGTCTCTACTTCTCTCTTCCCAGAAAGCCTTTCTGCCAATTCTTGACCATGTCAAGGTTTTCCCTCTCCTCTAGGCTCTGAGGATCCAATGTAGGACTGCCTTCCCAATTAGCCCTTATCAATTTTTCATTTTGTGTCAGTCCTGGGGCTTAAACTCAGGGTCTGGGCACTCGTTCCTGAGTTTTTTATTTTCTCCTCCTCCTCCTCCCCCTCCTCCCTCTCC